AAAGAGTGTAGTTTTAAAAACGTTTCATATGTTCCAGAACTCGGCATAAACCTGCTGTCAGTGCACTGTATTACAGAAACTGATGGAGAAGTGTTCGTTTACAAAAGAGAAAGTCCACATATTCAAGGACAAAAATGTTGTAATCGAAGGAAGAAAGGATGAAAATGGATTGTTTGTAATTAACTTTAGCACGATGAATGAAGCTACGATGACTCAGCAAGATGTAAGCATAGAGTGGCATAGAAAGCTAGGTCACATAAGTTATGCAAGAGATATGCCAAGGGATACCAGAAAGTGTGAGCAAGTGTAAAAATGTTGATATATGTTCAGTTTGAATGCAGGCCAAAGAAGTGAGACTCCCATTTGATACAGAAAGAAGTAGGGCTGGAAAGCCATTAGAGATAATTCATAGTGACGTGTGTGGACCAATTGATCCCACCACTTATGACAATAAGAAATATTTCCTTACGCGTGTGGATGATTATATGCATTTTTGTAAGATATACCTGTTAGAAAATAAGAGTGAAGTGTATACCTTTTTGAAGGAATATGTAAATGAAGCTGAGTGTCACTTCAATACAAGAGCGAGAAGAATAAGATGCGACAGTGGAGGGGAATATAAGAACAACGCCTTGAGAGAATGGTGTAAGAACAAGGGGATTGTAATGGAATTTACAACACCATATTCACCACAGCTAAATGGCACTGCCGAAAGGATGAACCGTACAATTGTGGAAAAGGCAAGAGCATTGATTTTTGATTCAGGTTTAAGTAAGAGAATGTGGGGTGAAGCTGTACTCACTTCTGCATACCTGCTAAACAGAAGTCCAACAGTGACAGTGAATGGAACGCCAGCGGTAAATTGGTATGGTAAAAGACCAGATTTGGCTGGATTAAAGATTTTTGGTTCAGAAGTGTACACTAAAATTCTCAGACCATTGAAGAAGTTGGACAGTCGTAGCAAGAAAGGAATATTTGTTGGATACGACACAAATGGCTACAGAATATGGGATCCAAATACTGAAAGGACCTATGTCTCCAGAGATGTGACATTCACAAGTAAACCTGTGACAACAAATAAACAAAAGGAAATGGAAAGAGTGACAGATCCAGAAGACAAGCCAAATACTCCAGATCAGGAAGATAGCGAAATGCAGCAAGAACCCGAAGCTGACAACAATGAAGAAGAACCAACAGATATTGAAGAGGATGAAGAAAATGAAAATGCTGACCACAAGGATAATGGAAGGAAAAACAATGGACAAAACGAACGTGGATATGCATTGAGACCAAGAAGAAACATTCAAATGCACCCAAAGTACCGAGACTGTCACACAGAGAGTCAAAAGGAGGGTATGCTCACCTGTACATATGGCGGGTGCATGGGGAGCGAAGACAGTGAAAAGTGGAAGAAAGCCATTAAAGAGGAAAAGGATTCGCTCTACCAAAACAAAACTTGGATATATGTAAACAGAGAGAAAGCAATAGACAAGAAAATTCTGACCAGTAAATGGGTTTTCAAAA